CCTATGGTAACAAAAAAAACCTGCTTAAACAGTAGGCAGTTTAAAAAAAAGGACAGTAGGCAGTTTTATAAAATCATGAGGTTATTGAAATCTATGTTCTGAAAATGTGGCTTGATGACCCTTTTGTGAAAAGGAAAAGATAACTGTAATGGAAGGTAGCCTTAAGAATAAATTAACTGACAACTAACTTCTAAGGGAGAGCAGGGTGTGAAAACAACTGCTCTAAAGGAAAGGAGTTCATCCGGAAGCAGGGTCTGTGCTCTCTAAAACTAACATTGGTCAGCTGTGCGTTTTAAGAATTTTTTTCTTAATTCAACAGCTAGCAATCATCTTCCATTAGGGTACATGAATTAATCCCTCAACTAATACAGTATCTGTATTGGCAATTTTTCTGAAAATCAGTGGTTTTAACACCTTTCACTACAATCAAATATAAAAAGACAATGGTTATTTTTGGCACACTTAATGGCAATCGGGGAAACCACAGTAAACTCTGAAAAAGGAGGATGCCCTCAAAACTCCTATGTAACTAAACAGGCAACCAGATGACAATTCTTTACAAGCACCAGGTAGGTAAGAAATATAATTAACTTTACCTTGAAAATAGCATTTTATAATAAATGTTCACTTTTAATTATTAAATAGAACCAAAAGTCCCAAGTATAAAAAGTACCAGTGTTAGAAATGACACTTAAAAATGATAAATGCCTTACATAAGCAAAAAACAACAGTGTTTTAACACTGGTTTGAGACTCAGTCAAAAAGTTTAAACTAGATATCTGGCAAAGTATTCTTAGCTTCAAAAGAAGTAAATGGTGTCTGACATGGGCTGGCTGGGAGACCACCCTATGGGTCAGGGAGGTCGCAAGCAGCAGTGGAAAGAACATTAACCAGAGACCCAGGAGACCGGGTTTCTGGCCTAGGCAGCCCCTCAGGATGCTGGGGCTTGGAGAGGCACTTGGCCCAGCTCCCTGCTCTGTGTTGGGGGCAGCTTTGTCTAGACCAGGGATGTGGATTTATTCCGAGAGAGATGCAAAGCCCAATTTCGCACACGCACGAAGTTTTATCTGAAACAAACACAGGCTAACAAACAGACGGTGGGGATAATTTTTCAAATGAACTGTTAAGATGAGTGAAAAGAGAATTCATCATTGGTGTTTCCTAGTTATGCATTTTTTCAGACAAAAGGACATTAAAGATATGACGACCACAAGTGCCAACAGGAAAACAAAACTCACCAACACTAAACAGGGTCCACACACCACGCTCTTAGCAACACTGCCCACCTGTTCAGGGTAAAGGCCAGCCTGTAAGGCTCTCTGTGGCAGAAGCCTTCTACTCTTCCACGTGAATAAACAGCATGTTAGTGAAAAACTCGCTAGTAAAGTGAAGGCAGGGGGCGTCGAGGCAGGGATCACCCAGGGTGACTTCCTGAGTTAAACCGCAGTCTGGCCACTCACCAAAGGCAAAGCTCGCGTTCTGTCACATACAAGATACATCACAGACCGCAGGGGAGGTGACATGGGTTAGAGCACGTGAGCAGAGCAGCGGTGAGCCTCGGCACAAAGCAAACGCTCCTCGTTAGTTCACTTCCTTAGCAAACAGCGAGCTGATCTGAGGTTGCAAGCAACCCACCTCAAGAGACTTTAGAAAGTAGCTGTTTCTAAACTTAATTTAAACATTTTTTCAACATTTTAGGAATCTACTGATTAGCATCCATGGTTGAAAGTATATACTTTCTCCAGGAAAATGCACATACATAGAAGACTTTGCAAGCAATTTCAGGAAGTTCAAAGACCCTCTTAAATTCAAGGAGACCACCTAGGTACCCATGGACTTCAGATTAAGAATACCCAGAAAAATCAATAAATTATTTAAACCTGAATTTGTACAACAAAATTCTACGTGATAACAGAAAATGCTTAATGAATGCTTATTACATGCTAGACACCATGCTAAGCAATTTAATGAATGATTTCATTCATCCTTGCAACAACCCTTTGAGGTAAGCAGTAGTAGTACATACCCATCTTGTAAGTGAGAAAACTAAGGGTTAGAAAGGTTAATTAATGTGTCCTACATGAGACAGGAACTCATTAAAAGAAAAAAAAAACTGTTCTCTAAAGGATAACGCCCCCAAAGCAAAACCAGTAGTTAAAGAAATACTAACTTAAATAAAATAGCTCCACCCACAATTACAACACTGTCTTACTTCTGTATGTCAGCCACTCCACAGAGGTCTTAAGCACACAAAAAGACTAAAAACTAAAAATGCTAAATAACTAATACCCTAACCAGCCCTTGATTTTTCTGGTGAGGAGGGGGATGAATGCACCCAACAAGCGCTCCAGCCCGCAGAGCCACGAGCCACCTCCACGAGAGGAAATGAACATGCATTTTTAAGTCTCCTTTAATGTTTTCTTAACCTCCTCACCTCCCTCACTACCCACGAACATTTTGCTAGAAGACAACCAAGCTAACCTAATCTCAATAAGCAAAAATATTGCCTTTCCAGCACAAATACTTTTTAAATGAACAGATAAAAATTGATAAAATTACATCTTACGAGTTGATGTCATCATTAGTACAGAAACACAGATCATATATACCTGAATATGCACAAAAAAGTTAAATTATGATGCAATCAATGCTATCCTATAAAAACTAAATTAACAAAAATAGCCTATTAGGGAAGACATCTGGTGTATCATGGCAGGAAACATTAATGATATTGTCTGCAACCCTGTAATCAATTTTTCCTCCCAGCAGCTCTCTCATTATACTGTATTAGATCTGCGTGCCTGCAGAATTTATGAGAGCTCCACACATGGAGAGGAGCTCTGCCAACTGGATCGGATTCAGATCCAGCTCAAATGACTTTGGCAGCATGAAGCGTTGTTAAAGAACAATCAGTACGTTAGCTTTATGCAGCATCATCTTGACTGAAAGATTTATCATCTTATTACGGAATCTTCTCCAACAGACATATGATGGTATCTGAGTACAGCACCAATCATGAATTTATTTTAATCCTCAGTGGGCACAAGATTTTTACTGCTAAAAAAATAAATACTGGTCATCACTAATGCTTATATAAAAAAAGCTGACTAAAAAAAAATCAATGTTATTATGGGTAAAATTTAAAATCCACTCAGAAAACCCTGGTTAGTGAGTACTGCAGTAAACGAAACAGTCTAACAATAACAGCCACACTGATTAGAGGATAAAGATAATACAGGCCTGAAAGATTGCACACACACGCACGCGCGTGATGGTAACTGGTAAAATGCCAAGACTTTTGAAATAGGCAGTCAAGTCAGAACTCTGCTAATTTGTCCCTTAAGATGTCAATCTCTCTCCAGGGGTTAAAATCAGATTTTTATCCACTACATTGGGTTTTATCTTTCATTGTGAATGGCTATTATATCAAGAATTCCAAGGCTTCCATAACATGGACCTTTTTTCTAGTCTAATTCTTGATAAATTACACTGGCAACTATCTAAACAAGAAAATGTTGTTGTGATAATTGTTTGTCATTTTATTATAGTTACTAATACCCAATCTCCATTGTCTTGGTTTTCTTCATTTTACGCATGGATGACAGCCCTAGCCACCTAATTGGAACTTTCACAATCTGTCCCCACTCCGTACTGCACACTGCTACCCGATGAAATCTTCTTAAGCAGTGATTTGCAAATCGGCTTGCCTGGAATAAAAAAGCCTGCAAAGGCTCTCTTCTGTCTAGCACATAAAATCTTGCCTTGTCTAATCTTTAAGAGCCTCTGTGATCTGACCGCATTTTATATAACCCCACCTCTGCCTCCCCAGACCCACTAACCTGTGCTCTTCGGTGCCATCCTGTGGTTATCTTCTGACAACTCCCAGCTTTACCCGGCTCACTGCCTAGGCTGCATATAGGGCCAGGCTGACATGTACACCCGGAAGGCTCGTCCACTCTGTCTGCCCATACGTTACTGACGTATCAAACACATACTCAGTTCTTCAAACCTATCTGCCTTCACAAAACTTCCCCAAGTGCTACAGCCCGTTCAGAGCACTCTCTTAGTCTCAAGGTATCAATGTTCTACATGCAACTGAACAATTCATTACACATCGCCACTAATTTGAATTGTGCGTGCATGTGTGATAACTATTCTCTTGTGTTATTTTCTGAGTGTGAGTTTGAGCCCCACATACAACAAGAGAAAGGTCTCAAATTTCTTTAGTAATTAACAGCAGGTGATCAGAATAAACACCTATCTTTCAGAAAACTTCAGCATTAAATCCTCATAAAGGAAGGACAAGGAAGACAGGTGTACACACAGCTCTCAGAGAAGGTGACTCACATGACACAAAAAGAACCCTCGTGGATCACTAACAGCAGGCCCTGCGTTCTGAGGGATAAAGCGCTGAAGACAGCTCACCCCGCTACCTCTCACAGTCATCCCACATTACCGAGGATTTACCAGAGAACAGCTGAGGGCATTACATCTACAGCCCAAGGCTTTCAAAAGGCTTTCCTTCTACGTCTGGCACTGCAGAAAAGCCTGGCTACTTCTGAGCAATACTCTATAAATCGTCCCCTGAGAGGACAGCACCCAAGGTAGTTTAGATTCACGGGCCATGGGTCCCAGGAATCCTGGGGAAATGCATCCTCCACACGTGGACTCAAACTTACCCCCTGTTTCCCCCATTTCAGTTGCCAACATCCATACTCGCTGCTGATTGCCAGCTCCTGCTTCCTGCAGCAGCCCAGCATGCTCTCTGCTGGTGCCAGAATACCCCACACCACCAAACCCCGCCCGCTTCTGGAACTGTCCTAGAGGGGTAAGGCAAGTCCCGTATTTTGCTTCCTCTGTGCATGTACTTGTTACTCCTTTAAAAACACATACAATACAGCACATTTTTAAAGGGGCTCTGGGGAGGGAGGTAATATTCCTATTTTATACCCTATGGGATATAAAATATTGACAGCTTTTAAAAACGGGATTCTCCTTACCCCTACAGGCCCTCTCCCGGCTTCAGAAAGATGCTGTGGTGGCTGTGATGCCACCGGCAGAGAGCATGCTGGGGGGTCACACAAAGCAGGAGTTGGAGATCTGCAACAGGCCTGGGAGTTGTGGACCTAAAAAAGAAAAAAGTTTTAAGTTAACATGCCCAATGTCCCCTCATACCCTGGTTATTAGGGGCACTCAGCACACAAGCAGGTATCTGCACAAATCCTTTAGCAGATGGCTTCGGAAATCTCAGAGAATTGGTTCTATCACTAAAGTTAACTTCTCTGCATCAATCAAAGCCGTTTCCTTGCTCCAGCAGGAAAAAACATATGACCCTCTGGCTCCACACTTTCATGTGGGCCTGTCATGAAGCAGTATGGTGTGTGCCCCCAAAATAACCAAGTTAAGATGTGACACAGTGTCAAAGTACAGTGACAGTGGCATGCTTTGCTTATAATAAAAACCAAAATGCAGTGGTGTCAGATAAACACGCCTATAAAATGAACCGCAAGTGGACAAACTGAGCTTTCAGAAGAGTTTCTAATGAGAGATGCTAGAGATTTTGACATTACTTAGTAAGATACTCAAGACATTAGGGTGGGGTGGGGGGAACCTCAAAGAAAGATCCTACCATTTTCTTAAAGTCCGGGTTTAATTTTGTAAAGCTAAAGACAATGTAAAAGACAAAAGCTTAACACCAGAGGAAAGAAAGATACCATCCAAACTAGCTTTACTTTGCTCACACTGCCCACAGGGTAAGTACAGTGAACAGGCCAGAGCATAAAGTTCAAGCAAGACACTATTTCTTTTAGAAGCAAAGTCAGTTTGGTGTATGTATCGTATATCTTTTTTTTTTTAAAGAAACTCTGAAAACATTTAAAATGAGCAAAAAATTAGCAACTTCTGAAAGCCAGCAAAGTCCTGATAAGCATCAAAAAAAGGTACCTCAGATAATAGTTTGAGTACATCCCTTTTCAAATACTCTAGAGTACATAACATTTCCCCAAACCTAACCAACCCAATTTCATGTGGTTGTAAACGAACTAAAACCCCATAAAATCCAAATACTTATAAGCATCTCTGTTTTTAAAATTGTTTTAAAATTACAGATAAGCAAACTTTTAATATTAAATCATTTTTAGGGAGCCCTGTTACATGTAGTTCCTTGTGAGAAGCAAAGAATCACTCTCTAACATCTTTCTACAGACCAAGGTATTAATATGCTCCATTAACTACTTATTTTTTATGTCTCTTTGAAAACAAACAAAAAAAGACAAATCCCAAGAAAATAAGCTAATATTGGAAATGTCTTTATCTTGATGCTTTTCTTTTCTTTTCTTCCTCTACAGATCACCCCCGAGAGCACATCTGGGGCTCCCTCACGTTATACTTTCTGTGTGGTCAGTCTCAGACTCCCACTGTCTCAGTGACAATATACATATATGATCTACATGGATATCAAGTGTTAGTAGCCATAACATTCTCCACATAACTTCCTCCTCCCCACACCAGCACTGCAAATTCCAAATCAAAAATTCAACTGTGCAATAGCGTGTGCAGTACACTCAATTTTTACCGTGTCAAATAAAAATGAATCTGGTTAATCTCTTGCACTAGGAATTCAATTAACCAGGCCACTCAAATCCTTTTTCATTCGAATCAAGGGTTTTAAACAAAAAGATACCTAGTAAAGCATTTCTACGCACCCTGGTATTATTTAATACGCAAAAGTTCAAGTAATTGTTAAAACACTTTAAACATTAAAGCATCATTTCAAAGCATTTCTTTATTCTATTAATCAGAAAACACTGACAGTATCTCAGTTGCCCTAGTTTTCTTTCGAGTCTCCTAATGAGTTTTTTCTTGTATTATTTTGAGTTGTTTCTTAACATAAATATCCACATATACATACAAATTACAAATTTCCAGTTCTAAGAAATAGAATGTAAATGATAGGACTTCACAAGAATATTGATTCTTGCACAGGAGCTTTCTGAAAATATCAAGCTGTCTCAAACTTTAAGTTCTTTTTCAAAAAGATTAGAATACCTAGAGTTTTCTGCATTGAAAACATTTCACATACAGAGAACAGGTTTACTAAAATGACATTTTAAGATAATTTTTTCATGGAAGTAAATATAATTAAACAAAATTTTTTCAGTGATTTCATAGAGTCCTAAAACACAAATAAATTACGAGAAACATTAATTACCCAACTTCACAGTAATTGTGAACCATTAAAATTTTAAATCCCACGTGGCCTACGATGACTGTCAGTCACAAGTGAAAATGGACTGCTGAGAAGCTGAGTAAATGGGGTCAATAAGATGCTCTGAGATTATTTATTCCCAAAGCCTCGTTTTGATTTTCACTTGTATCACCACATCCCTCCGCTTATAAAGGACATTCACATCATGCGAAAAGGCTGGGTGATTCAAAATAACTTTCAACAGGATTGTTTCATAACTGGGGTGGAGTTGAGGGGCAGGCGCAGCAGAAATCCAACACCACCTCATCTGACTGTGTCCATCAGACTCCAGGCTGTGCAAGTTCATCCTCCTCTTGCCTCTTAGAGGATTAAATACAATTATAAACTTCAAATTCATATGTGAAAAGGACATTTAGTCCTTGCACATACATTTATTATCAGTGGCTTACTCTAGACACAGCGTGGAGGAAGCCCAAAACCTCACTGTAGTTTATCACAATGCTTATCCCTAATAACTAAGCAACCATGACCTGTATTTCAAACAAAGAAGGGGAAAACGTATGGCCTTCAGAATACTCTAGCACCAAATTAGTAATTCAAACCTTAATTCAAACCTTTTCCTTTTTTTACTTTTTAAATTATAGTTGATGTATAATATATGTTACAGGTGTACAATACAGTGATTCACAATTTTTAAAGATTATACTCCATTTACAGTTATTAGAGAATACTGGGCATCTACCCTGTGCTGTACCATGTACCTCTGTAGCTTCCTTTATACACGCAGTCTGCACCTCTTAATCCTCCGCCCCCATGCTGCCCCTCCCCTGTCCTCCTCCCCACTGGTAACCACTAATTCATTCTCTGTATCTGGGAGCCTGTTCTATTTTTTGTTATATTCCCTAGTTTGTTGCATCTTTCAGATTCACATATAAGTGATATCATACAGTATTTGTCTTTCTCTGTCTGACTTATGTCATTTAGAGTAAATGCCCTAGAAGTCCAACCATATTGTTGCAAATGACAAATTTCCCTTCTTTTTCCCAACCTTGTCTTGACTTAGGAATCACTGCGGGAGACGAGCACTGTCACACTGAGGCACTCACCCCTGACAGGTGAGAGCAACTAAGCCAACAAGAAGGAGCAAATCTTTTGTAAAGAACTGTCTCTGCTGTACCTTCCATTATCTCTTTAAGTAATACTTACTCCCTCACTCTGTAAACTGAAGACACTTGATAACAAATGTCAAGGTTTTCACTTCATTATCCAACACTATGCTTAAGTCACACTGCTATAACCAAGTGGTACTGCCCTTTTTATAGGGAACTTGCAAACAGGGTAAAGAGGGAAAAAAACAAACAAACAAAAAACTGTAGACAGACTCAATTCTGCAGGCCTAACTTGAGGGACCATGAAAAAAAAAGAAAGAAAGAGCAATACCAGTTTGACACAGAAAGTCGGTAGTACCCTAAGGCACTTTTCGTATCAGCTGGCCTTCTCTGGGACGTCTACACATACACTAAGCCCTCATGTATCTTTGCTAAAAGTAATATAGAAAATTCGAAACAGAATATAATAAAGCCTAAAAAAGTTATGATTTTGGCAACACTCATAAACTTCCAGAAGAAAATAAAAAACTGAGTTTTAAAGTATTTTTAGAATTTATATAAAATACTATACACTGCAGGCTAACTGAAGGTAAAGAAACAGATTTATCTTTGGCCTGTTTAAGAAACAGAAGGTTAATCTGTACTTAATGCATGCATCATATCAAACTACTACTAAAGCCCCTTGAAAACCTTATCCAGTCGATTTTTTCCACTGAAATGTAACTTCATTCAATGTTCAGTAAATATTTACTTTGGATCTAACATGGGCGATGCCAAGTATACATCAATGAATAAAACACTGATATCCGCCCTCAAACCTAGGGCGCCAACTGAACATCAGCATCATGAACATCCCGTGGCCCAGACACTGCACCATCCACTTTGCAGGCTTGATCTTTTAATCTAAAAACAACCTATCTGCAAAGTAGGTGCTTCACAGCCCAACTTTATAGGTCAATAAAGCAAGGTTCGGAGGGTTTAGAGTCTTGCCCAAGGCCATAAAAGACAGCAAGCAGCTGATGAAACAGGCCAGCTGATATCAAAGTCTCAACCCATGCACTCTGCCACCCTCAAACCCAGTCCCAGAATAACATCTCAACTCTGAATTAGCCATGTTCACATTAATGTGGATTTCCTGAACACCCCCCAAAACGTTTTCAAAACAAGATTTACTTAATTTAAAATGAATGCCCATTTCCTGAATGTCCATCCACCATACATTCTGTGCTGTGCGGTCACAACAGCCAAGCTGGGATTAAATAATCATGGTACATTATAAATTATCATAAATGACATTAACTCCTTGTGCATACGTGGGTGTGCACACAGAGGGCATGTTCCCGAAGACTCCCTACCTCCCAGAATTACCTGTGTAAGGTCTCTAACGAAAAGTGAGAAGATATAATTACTTATTCTCAGTAAGTGTTCATTTTAAAGAACAAAAATCATTTTCCTGCTTTTAACATACACTTCTGAGAAACTCAATTTGGTGGAGAGAGGGCAATTTCAATGATAAGTGGAACCTAAGCTGAAGTCCCTGTGTGTCATGCTGTGGTGATCAGCTTTTGGGGTAGTGTTACGGGTACAAACCAGGAACTGGAAAGAAAATTTCAAATGTTCCTCTCCCAGTTGCTCACATTTGGCAGTGAAACAAAGAGGCATGCCATATTAAATCTTAAATAACTTGGCCCCTGCATCACAGTAGTAATGGAGATGTGCCTTCTCCAAGGTAACCAGTGGTATATGCACCCTTAGCCACCCTACTTTGAAAATCAGCACTTACAGTATGTGACTGTCAGGGACATAAATGACACAATAGCACATTCACCCATGCAGAGCCGTAACAACACACTGAGCCCTAGAAGTCAACTGAAAATACCATGATATCCTGAAAGGCATATCCCCAACTCTAAGGAATCTCTAGACCAGGCTTACTTTTAGTGACAGTTAAGTTTTAATAAATCAAATAGGAGCAAAAATGCCATTTGTTCAAAATAATATTTGCAATAATTACCCACCCTACCTGAAAATCCATTTCATATGGCAGCTTAAAAAGGGATAATTATGTAACTCAAGGAAATAAAAATCATATTTTTTTCTATTTAATGAATGATAGAAACTCATTAGAAATCCACACAGAACTCCCATGTAGAATATCAAAGAAACAGCTCCACCTACTCTCCCGTGAGTGAGGAATTCGGCCTGAGTACCACTGTTGGCGCCAGACAAGGAATTCCTTGGTGTTACAGTGAGTGGAAGCTACTCATCTCAATAAGCTTGTTACGCAATCTCAGAGTCCATGATTACTTCTGGATACAAATGAATTCTATTGTGCTAAGGCCTGAATTTCTATAAAAATGGAATTTTATTGTTTTTTAGTAAAAGAAAGGAATCCTTCTCTTGGGACAAAAAGTGAATGGCTTCCTCCACATCAGTTCTACTCAGTGTCCCCCAAAGAGGGCTGACATCTGACAGTACCACCACTGTGCTTCCAATTAGAACCCAGAATCACTGAGGGAGGGAATTGTACCTTATGTTCTTCAGTCCCCCTATGGTGCTGCTCTCAACAAAGAACACAATAAACACCTGCCAAAGTCACTGATGACACCCCAACACCACTAACTGCACTTGAGGATATAATGCAATGCTCCTTGGTGATACTGACTCATTCCAGAAAAAACCCCCAAAGCAAACTCAGTCACACAATGACCTGGAAGACCTACGGGAGCGCAGCAGAAGAAAGGGTTGCAGATGTCTTAACAGGCTCTTCCAGTTACAGTTACTAGATTTCTGCTCAACCTGGCCCAGGAAAAGAGCCCTTTGCTGAGAGGTAATGATAAGGACAATCTGAGAATCCAGTGGGAGAAGCATCCGTGCAGCAGGACTCAGGGAGAGTGGGCTCTCACCCTGCTCTCTGCACCCTTGCTCCAACCCTCTGCTTCTCCCAGCTTCCTGCCCTACAAAGGGCATTCACCTGGTGCCGTAGACTGTCCCAAAATTTACTTTATACTAAAGAACTCACCATGATAAATGATTAATTCTAATTTATGATATAAACAAAGAAATACATCTCTCAGTTAAACCTCAAACCAAAAAAAAAAAAAAGGCTAAAAAAATACGTAATTAATCAAAAACATTTCAAAGCTACTGGGTTTCTGTTTTCCATTGTTCCACTTGCCATGCATGGTATTTGCTGTGGGCAAAACCAACTCCAATTTCTTCTTTTTAAAATCTTGCAGAGAAACAAAGCACATTTCCTTCTGTTCATCTTTCCCCTTTACAGGCTGGGTAAGCTAAAGGAAAAAAGGTCTCTGTTTATTCTCATCTCTTAGGTTATCTTTTCACAAGTAATACTGAGAATCAAGGAAAGAAAGTGGGTATCCAGACAATACATTCCTTCCAGGAGCAAATATTTCATCAACATCTCTGTTATTCTTACATAAAGACAACGAGTATGTGCTGAATACAGAACTCAAACAAAAACATAAGACATAGCGATATGTGACTTAGAAAAAGGTATCTAAACATATGGCACCCCACCTCCCACACTGCTTTTGCAGACAGCTTTAATGCGCTGTCCTAGACGAGTACTGACAACAGAAGCTTCAGCTTTTATTGCTGTTAACAATTACTGTAGCTCAGCAGGAGCCTCTGCCCCGAACAACAACTATCACTTTGTAATGAGCACTTCATAAGAGATGTCGTTCAAACATCAAGGCACCTGCTAATGGGCAAAAATTGTACAAAAGGGGCTCAGACTCTAATAGGTAAAAGAAAAATCTCTGCAGTTTTATTTCCCAGCTTTATCTTTTCTGGTATTACATTTGGTAAAAATCACACACAAAGACAAGGAGCAGGGACAGAGCAGCAGCAGCAGCAGCCACGAGCAAAAGAAAAGTCTTCAGGAAGCAAGGGCACTGCCCAGATTTTCAGATGTCAGTGCAGCATCTGTAAAAAGAAATCCTTGGAAGGAAACATACAATAAACAGCAGAGACCTTTAAAAATGGTAAAACTTCATGTTGACATAAAATCTGAATAGAAAGCATTTGATTCACAAGGTTAAACTGCAAGACCACCTTATAAAACAACTAGAAGGTAAAAGCAGCCTATCAAGAATTAAGAAATCTTAGAAGTAAATGACCCATTTTACTTTCTTTTAAAGAAGTTAAAAAAAAAAGCATGTATTTATTATTTACATGACAATTTCTGAATAAAGAAAAATACAGGGCATGCAACTTCTAAAATTAAGTCAGGTACACTAACTGGACATTTGGAGTCATTTAAAATGACTTTTTTTAAAAAAGGACAAGCAGAGTTCAGAACACATTACTTTTCTTTAGACTGAAATATCACATACAATGTATGTCAAAACACAAGTACTGTCAAAAGTGACTAAGGGTTTTGGAAATAACGGTATTCACAAATACTGACACGTATCTCTACAAAGCTAAAGAATCAGGATTTCTCTAGACCTAAAAATGTACGCAGTGGTTCACAACCTTCAAGTACAAGGATTCTGTTTGAACATCTAAATATTTCAAAAGATCTCCAAATGACAGTATTTCGATAGTATTTCACATATCAATTGTTTGAGGAAAATACATAATAAAGTGATTCTTAACTGTACTGTCAGTACATAAGTCAATTTTTCAAATCACAGCCGCGTATCAATACATTTGAAAACCAGTAGCTCAGACACATAGTGAGGTAAATTTATTTATTTAAGACTGATGTTTATTTACAGACCTCTGCAAACTGTCTACAGATATCGAGGGATCCAAAGCCCCAAAAGTGAGAACCAGTGGTCTCAAAACAAGAGATTTCACGATGGGCAACATTAACACTTAGGCACCTGTGAAAAGTTTTCAACGGGAAAGTACTGCAGCTATACCTCCCCAAGGCCAAACTTCCTCCCCCCAGCCTCTAACACCGGGAAACCCCAAAACAAAGTTCAAAATATACTCCCTACTTGTTTAAAATACCTAAGTAAATTACAATGGCCACAGAAAACTAATCTCTGGCCCGCTGATATTCTTTTTGTTCCCTACTCATCATCAAATCCCAATTTTACCTTACTTCAGATTCTTCACAATGGCTGAGAAAAAACCACTACCGTAGGAACATGGGAATCTCTGAAACTGTTGTCAGAACAGCTACTAAAGGAATAAAAACTTCAGAAACATCTGTTTACAGTAGGAGCTTTATAACACTAAGTGTTCTAAAACTGCGCCCTGCCTTCCTGGAGTGCTGCAGCCACCAGGCCCTTAGCACACAGAAGGTGAACTGGTTATCAAGTCAATACAAGAGGGAAGCAACCCAGAGAGACAGTCGATGGGACTGGGGAAGATAAGGTACAGAGGAGAATCAACAGCACATGGAAAATGCTTACCAGTTTGAAGTCTTGAATGCTACAGATGAAATACGGTGTGTTTGGCCTCCGACTCTCGATATACACACAGTCTTTAAAAGAAAAAGAAATTTTAAAAACAATGGCATTTACCTTTAAGGGAACACAGACAGGGCCCATAAAGCCACTGCATAAACAAATGACAAAGCACATACCTTTTACATTAAAAAAATTTTTCAAAGGTGACATTAAATTACAAATAATTTTAAGCTAAAGGAAAACAGCTCTTGGGTTCTTTTTGACAACTTTTCTGATAATTTAAGAATTTGATAAAGCCTCAATTACTGTTCCCAGCATCCCTGAAAATAGGAGGGGTGGGAATCCCATGGGATCATCCACATTCAGATGAAGAGACTCTGATAAAGGGAATTACATGCTCAAGGTTACACACCAAGACGAAATCCTGAGTATCTTACTTAGATAGACGTTTCCCTGTCTTCACAAAGAGAAACAGCTTTGCCACGTTCTGCTTTATTTTTTAATAAATATTTTGTGAGGAAATAAATGAAATGTGTAAAGAAGACTAGATTGAATATGCTATTACAATGACCTTTTCACCCAAACAAAGAAAGAAAAAGAAAGCCAATCTAACATCTTGCGGATAACCTTCTAATAAAATTTAACCTAAACATACTTCATTTTCTAATAGTAAAGAAAACCAAGGCAGCCAATCAGAGATGGAATGAAATAAACCAAATTACGTTTTCCTCAGGGAAGACTAGTACATCCTTAAATTGTATTTGCCATGGCAATGGTTGGGTAATTACATTTGACACTTAGGACAGGAAAGTCTATGTATTATTTACTGAGAGGTAGAGGCATCTGCAGTCAACCAAATGTTCCAGGGACAGTGACCACAATGCCCATATTTAAAATACCATTTGTTTTATCCTTCTTCATGACCCTTGATAACAAACATGCCTTAACAACAAACATGCCTTAGATTAACTCAGATGCTTGAGAACACAGACAGACTTCTCTATTTCCTCATTTCACACATGTTAAGAGCCTCAAAAATAAAAAAGCAAAGGAGCAGATGTTGGGAGATTCAGCCCAGGGGAAGCTCTAGTCCCACCATGGCCCTAGCAGACCCACCAAGAGGCAGACCTTGAAGAAAGACGTGAAAAAGACTAAAGGGCACTCCTTTCCAGGACATCTCCTGAAAGGCATCAGGATTCTTGTAGCCCAAAGTTACTACAGAAAAAGAAGAAGCCTAAAAGCCAACTGCTGAGGCATCCAGGACTTCCCAGCTGATTTCTCTACTCAGACACAGACTCAGCAGCAGCGATTCGAGCTCTGAATCCATGTAAAACAGCAGCTCAAGAACAAACTGTTGACTGAGCTTTCTATCTTGTCCCAAAGTCCAACACGCTAAAAAAAAAACTCCATTCAACATTCAGGCAACATCCATTTAACATGCTAATCACTATAAGGGACAAACAAAACAACTCTTTCCACTGTGGTGGATATTTCTCTTCCTACGCCTAATTTGGTATTTGAGTAAAAACCGACGACACCACTCCCTAAATAAAAACTGCAGCCCCAACTTGCACAACTTGGGGACAACGCCAGAGTCTTAATTTCTGTGTTCTGATCCCTGTTGTACACACTACCAGCATTTCAAACATCTAGACATCAACTGTTTGCTCATCTCACTCAATGCGAACACAAGTCAGTCTACATGCCCGCTTCTCCCCATCTTCTCCTAGAAAGAAGTATTTTTTGCATCTCATAACATGTCACTGTCATACCTAGCTACTATTCACTGACTTCCAAACTAATAGGTCCCTTCCTAACTAATTAGCTCTACTTTTGTAGAGCTCACATGATAAGCAAACTTGCTGCATTCAACGGTCTGATCCCACAGTACACCTCACCCTCCCCTAGGCTGTGCTGTCCTGAAGAAACACCAATCCCCTATCTCCACACCAAACCCCCTTCACTGCTTTGTTCTACAAGCACCTGCAACTTTACAAGTGACCTTCAGTGGCAGTAAATTCTCGTGGCTCCTCGGTAAAGAAATGACAACGCCTCCTCTCCTTGCTATAAAATTTCCTTTCCTTTATATAAAACTGGCAATCCACGTTCCCTGTTTGTTCAGTTACTTGGCAGTCAGACGGTGTACACTGTCCACTTCACTTTCAGTTTTGAGCTCAAATAAACTTACTCATTTCTGCATTCTCTGTACCCCCGAAGGAGACTAATGTCTGACACTGGTGTTGGTGAGACCAGAGAGAACTGAAGTAGATGAAAGACGGTAACACAGTTAGGATTATGTATAACAATGTTCTTTTTACACAAAGAAAAGCTTTATTATATATTTTGCTCATAATCAACAGAATCATTATTTACTATAAACCCTCTTACATAAAGACATAGAGTAGCTATTAACTGGTATATAAAAATGCTTTCCAGAATGAGAGAGAGAATCTATATTTTTTCATTTCTCACTACAAAGCTACATTCAGGAAAATGATTATCTGTAAATATACCTGGATGTAAATCTGATGCCCCTCTGCCTGCATACCTGGAGGCCGCCTTGCAGCCCCGCCTGAGGAATGCTGCCAGGAGGGACAAGGCAGAGGGAGAGGGCAGATCCTCAAACCTAACTTAGGGAATTACCATATTTACTTACTGATGCCTTAGTACTAGATAAGATCACCTCTTTTTGTATAAAAGGTTATAATGGCAACCCAAATGGATCCAAAGCTATAAATTCATTTATGAGATTCCAATGCATAAGGGTAGTAATCTGTAAAACAGGTCACTGTATCAAGTGATCTCTATCAGTATTTTGAAACTTGTATGTGAAAAAGTCAGATAAGCTCACTTCAAAATTAAGTGACAAAACTTAGAGTTTATTTTACATAAAGAGTCGTAAGACACAGAATGACCAAGATCAGGTCATTAAAATTTCTGACCAGATTTAAAATTTTTCACACCATGTCAAACTTGCCATAGGAATGGAAAAAAATACATTGTTTTGATTTCACTTTTCTAATTCATTTTTTAAAATTTATTTATTGTATTGTTATTTGGGAAGGGGAGGGAGATAATTAGGTTTATTTATTCATTGAATGGTGATACCGGGGATTGAACCCAGGGCCTCGTGCATGCTAAGCTCTACCACTTGAGCTATACCCTCCCCCCTAATTCGTTTTTAAAACAAAAGCATGAAAAATTATTGTAGAATCAAACTTTCCTTTGTAACTCTCTCATAAAAAATTAGGAGGATCCAACTAAAAAAGAGTACCTCCTAAGAAACAATGCGGAATTTAAGTCTCTCACACACATACAAACATCTACTTATTACTCTCAACGATTTTCAAAACAAGGTTAAATAAGGCCAAACACTCAGAAGTATCTCCCTCCTGTCTCACTGATTAAGCAGCTATTTAAGAAAGTAACTTTATATAGATGTTCAGTTAGTACAAAAATAAAGAGGTTTATTTGGGAAGGGAATGATGAGAACGTTGTCAATGCAACGTTACACTCTCAGTTAGGATATGTGCCCAGTAATCTTTTAAAGCCAAAAGAATTTGCCAAGAGTTTTCATGCAATTTATAAGAGTATAGATTGTCTGAAGCTGATGATAAAATTGGTTTCAGTCAGCTGGATCAATGAGCCTCAACCTGAAAACTCCCCATGGCCAACTCAAGTACTGCAGACACCTTTTCCTAAAAAAAAAAGAAAGAAAAGAAAAAAGAAAAAAAATTTTTTAAAGAAAGCAAGCAGTTCTGAAAGAACTGAGCAAAGCTGATGCAAACCATTAAGTGCATAATGCACATTTTCAAAATTGCCCACATGAAAATGCATATTTACCAGATTGAGCTAACTGCTGCTGCAGGGCAAATATATATATTTTTAATCTTAAAATCAGCAAGCCTGAAATGGGCCAGAAAAATGGGTGAGGCTATTACCATCAATATCAATTATTCCAAACAACACAGGATAACACATTTTTTTTCTTACTAGGGGTGTCTGGAAACGAAACCATGGGTCCAGGTTAAGACTTATTCTCTAACACGTAGCCTCTGCCTGGAAATGGATCACATGATTAAGTGATCTCAAATCCTGTGTCCATGTTTTGGGCCATGACGTTGAACAGGGTGTTTCTGGCTCTTTCTCACAACCTCAGCATAGCTTTGTGTCCAAGACTCTCTTGTGCCATCTGCAAACAAAAGAGCATTCGCTAGGCTGGAGAAGGAAGTCAGCCAAAACAGAAAGGCAGATTCTGGAGGCAAGGAAAGCTCTCGCTGCTTTTCCAACCCTCAGCAAATCAGCAGGTTATGTAAATAGAACAAGAGCAGGGTCCTCCCAAGGGTAAAAACCACAGCCTGAAGCATCAGGCAGTTTGTCATCCTGAAACACAAAGAACCTGTCAGCACGTTTCCTGACAGCCTCCTCACAAGCACAGTGGACACACACTTTGCCCACTGACGGAGCACGCGGCACTGGGGGCCCGGCGTTAAAGCTGCGCTCAGGCATCGCTCAGCCATGGTGCTCTGTCCCATAAGAGTTTCCCTCCATGGACCTATTTCTGCCATTAATCTCTGAAATATCTTCTCACCCCTTTGCAAAGCCAATAGAAAACCTTTACTTATGAAAAGCACGTACGAACAAAGACTTTCTCCTCAACAAATTTCCCAAAGACCCAGCTGGGTGGCACAGTGGTGGGCGTGGAGGCTGACCCCCAGGACTGCTCCAACAGCTTTCCATTTCTCTTACACAGGATTCCTCCACCCTCGACACTCTGAACCACTCAGTGAGGTAACAGCAGTTAGTCTAATCCTGCAGAATAAAGTCCACAAGCATCTCACCAGTGAATACGGCTGTTTCCAAATTTCCAACATACAACAGGGTGTGGGTGTGGGCGTGGGCGTGTGCACTAGGAACACGGAAATCCCAACTCTCAATCCACGTGTAGCGCGAGGCCTCTAACACAGCCTCTGGTCTCCTTTCCCCTTCCGGACAACAGTCAAACCTGTCACCGTGCCTCACCTCCACCAACGATATACTACATCGAGACAGGAAACATTCAAAAACTATATGA